CCTCTCAGCAGCAAGAATGGAGGCTTAAAAGTTTAAAAATCAGGGTTTTACATCCGCGGTGGGCAGAGCTTTGTCCTTAACAATACACACAATAAAATAAACTGAAACATTGTTTTCTCTGCTCTTACAAATATAGAAACGAAGAATCCCGTAGTGAAATGAATAAATAAACCTCTAAAACGGCTATAAGAGATGATGTAAAACACGAAAACGAGCAAATTACAACGTTTGGGCCAGTTTATTTGTCGTCATTATCATTAGGTACAACGTACGAAGTCTGGTCTGTGTCGGTGATTGCGGTCGTTGTGCGCAACCTGGGAGGGTCAAGTTCAATCCTCCCTCCTTGACTATTGTTAACAAACTGTCAAAATGCTATGAAGTTATTCAAGAAATCAGAGCTTTAACACTAATGCAGAACACTGATTAATATTTTTTCGGGATCATTTAGAAATATGAACCTATCATAAACCTGTGTACACAGGATTGTATAATCATGTTCATAATTTGATACTTGTTAAATATAAGGATAAAGAATCTACTTCCCTCTTCAGGCCTACAACACACGAGAGAGTAGAAGAAAATTACATTTGAAAATATGAAATTAAGTAGACCAATCATATAGCTGCTGACATAAATACAATTGGTGAATAAATATAGTGGAAAACCAGGATATTTGTCTTTTTTTCCCCTTATCAACTGAGTTACTTTTTATTTAAATATCTATCACATTAGAGTCAGTCGGTTAGTGCACGTATGTTTACGTTGAATACTAATACTAGAGAACCCGTGGACCACATTTACAGGTCCGCTATAGTGCACGTTTAATGCTTGAACTACTATTTTGCACTTTTTTCAGTTTTCTGTTCCTCTTTCAAAAAACGCAGGTTTCCTAATGGGTTGGGTGAAACGTTTTGCCTTAGTGCAAGCCTAGCGGCCGAGAAGATTCGTTTCGTATCATCTAGACGTTGGTGAGTTTAGGAGAACGAGTTTTCCAGAAATCCCCGGATTCCCTGAAGGATGGGTTGAAACTTTTTACCTTTGTGCAAATCTCGGAAGCGAGACGATTCGTTTGGTACAATTTAGAAGTTGGTGTTACCAGCTGTTTAGGAGGAGTTATGTGACGCACAGACACATTATATAGATCGTTTAGTGAATGCATGCATTAATCGTTTTGCGCTAATATAATCACATTTACGTTTGAACAAAACGGGAACCTCACAGCTGCCTCCTATCAATAATAACAAAATTACATTTTTTCAGGCAGTTTTATCTATAAAGGGTAATTCACCGAACTCGTGTTTCCTAGTAATTTAATCTATTGCTGGGTAAAATAATAAGTGTTACGAGTAGTTACAATCACGCCTGGCTGCAAACGTTTTTTCTCCCATATTCCTCTAATCAGTCCGCTACTAGTTTCGAATCTGAGATGCGTAAAAGTATCATTTAAAAGACAGATAGCAAACAAATGATAGTAACATTTCAGTGACTGGTGGTAGACAAACGATAATCTGAAATGCTATTTTTACATTCCCCTGATTCGTAATGGACTAATTAGTAGGAATGTGAGAAAAAAAATGTGTGCAGCCACACTTGTTATTAATTACCTTGATAGACTTGCTAACTTGGTCGTTTTATATCACTGCAATAACATATTCTTGTTCTATATATTATCAGAAACGATAGTAGCTTATAATAGTGATCGCAAAGAATTGCACAAAACCCTAATAGAACGTTGGAGTAAAAAACACCTTAAACAGTACAGATTCAGTTCACTTTAAAATCTTTACTATTGACTGCTAAGGCTGTATACATATAGAAATACACAAAAACATACATATACGACTCACAAAGAAAACCCGCTGAAAACAGCCCGTTTGTATTTATTATTATTATTCTTGCCAGCCTACAACAAAAACTGCTTCATATATTGCACCTAAAAATTTTGAAGAACAATAAATAAGGTACTGCGAAGGTCTACGAGTATCGAAAAGTCGATTTGTTTCTTCTGTATTTTACATAAGCTAAAAACATCATAATTCTTGTGTAAACAATGTTATCATTACCCCTTGAAGTTAGTTTTTTTTATAAATTCCTGGTATTCCTTTAAAAAGCTTAAGTACAGGGTGAAACAGGAATTACCAGTCAATAATAGATGAACATTAGATGACTAACATGTAGATACTCAATGCTTTGTACACTATACAATTGGTGTCCTTAGGGAGTCAACCACCATATTAAGTTCAGCATCAGTTCAGCATAAAAAAAAGTCAGCAAACAAGATAAATAAAAATTGGGAACTTAGAAACCTGCAAGCAGAGATGGTAAAAGAAGTAAGGAAATAAGACTGAAGATACCGTGGAAATTATTTACTCAAACTACAAACCCCTATTTTGTCTCCACCAAATGTAATTCTAGGTAACAGCATGAAGCCAGAATAGGGGTTTGTAGTTTGAGTAAATAATGTCTGCAGTATCTTCAACCTTGTTTCCTTACGTTTGTAAAATCCATATTTGCAGGTTTTTAAATTCCCAATTTTTTATTTATCTTGCATAAACACATACTCGTTAAATAATTTCCAATGTAATTTCTAAACATAAGAAGCAAAATTTGAACGCTTCTTCTTGGGACACACAAAAGAGATAGAGAGAACGCAAATGATTAGTCATTGTGAAACATATATTCCCGTTATGAAAAGTGTACAAAATTTGTTTTCATTTTTCAGTAATTGACATTTTCAGGGAAAAGGAAATTGTGTCCCCCCCCCTATCCGTGTGCTCTATTTATTTCCCGTTTATTCGGATTAAATGGAATATAGCCCATTTAATATTTTTTTTATTACTAAGCAAAATTTAACAACTGTCGTGAACTGCGCCTGTTGGTGGGGTAGTCTTGATATTTAGAATAACGAAAACACACACACAGAAGCCACTTAAAAATATTGAAGCACTACTATTATTTTTTCTTTCAAAGTCCAAAAATGTGTTAAACTAAAATAAAATATTTAAATACTCTCAAACACTCAGCCAAACAGAACAAATCGATAAAAATAATATCAAAATACATAAGCAGAAACCAAGTGCATAAAGACAAAAGAACATATATAGACTCCCTTTCATTTATACATTATATAAAACGATTTTGGAAGTCTCACCACGTCGTTAGAGTCAATGACGCCACGTCCAGCCATGCTCTATCTCATGACCCGTGCTTCTTGGCAATAGCCCTGCGATGTACTTTCCATTGCAAATGACTCCCACCATAAGGCTGTCATGTTCAAATCACATTCCTCCTCCTAGCAACTCTCCATAATCCATGTATAGTGTACGAGGGCAACGGTTTTCCAGCACTTATTCCAACACTTCGAGCTCAGAGAAATCTATAGTTGCTATGTTCCGCAACTTCACATGTATGTCTTCGTATGGAATACCATAAATACCCATTTTATTCTTCAACTGCTTGATGTATGCAGCTGTTGAACAGATATGTCGTGGAAGAAGTATGTGTACATGCGATTTGTGTCGCTCTTCTAGATGGAGATCCTTCTTGATTCTGTTGCGTACTGTTGACTGGGGCACGTTGAAGGGTTTTGCCACTGACCTTTGTGTTCGTGGATTCTTCCCTGTTACAAGATGCCGCATTGTGCTTACTGCAACTGGGGTACGATTTGTTGCATGTCTCTTTTCTGTATGTGCCTGATACTCTGATTTTATTCTTACCACATTGTTTTCCAATGCCATTATAAAATAAAAGTGATATCCCCGTCTTGGAAATTCTAAATACTCTATCTGAACACATCTTTATGATTTGAGTATATGAAAGCGCTGTTACATACCCTTCAAATTTCTGGTGGCATCACATTAGCTACGAAACGTCAAACAATGTCAAAATGTGGTTCTGATACATTTCGTCCACTGCGACTCGATATTGCTGTGGTTGTCACGTAACTTGATGAGTTGCATATTAAAAATCGTTTTAATATAACATGCTCAATTTTCCATAAAGCGGATGTGACATACTCCATCCCAACCAAACAAAACAAACCTGTCCCTGTTAACACAACAATTGCAAACAAATTAGCCTTCTCGGTAAGTTTACGAAATTACAACACTAAAGTTCAGAGTTCGATACTCCATGGTGGACAAAGCGCAGGTAGCCCATTGTGTTGCTTTGTGCTAAAAAACAATAACAGTAAACCAATTAAAAATAATTCAATAATTACAAACAATTATCCAATAACGACAAACACTAAAACAAACGTACAGACAGCCGTCTTGTGACTAGGCTGTGCTCTCATAAAATTTGATAATACATTTGTATGTCATTAGTATAAGCCTAATTATATTTGCTTTTAATGGTGCATAACCGATATTATGTACTAATACTATTCACAAAGTTCACAAATTAAACAAAAATACACCGTGCTAAATATTTCATTTACAATCATTACCCGTCATAGTAAGTTATAGGCCTTTATGCCCTCAAATTTCATGAACTGAAAGTAATTCGCACACAGTAGCGGAGTAACAATGGCGCCCTGTATAAGGCCCACACTAGAAAGGGGCCCATTACACGTAAATTTCGATTTTCAAAGTGTACACATTGCGTTATATTTTCATAGACGATAGGTCTATTTCAAAGCATGCAAATCTATTTTTCTTTCCAGGGCCGGCAAAAAAAAAAGATCCTTCTGGTCCCTTTTTAATCCTCAACCAGTTCTTGCAGTCACTGGTCAAAAACAGACTGCAAATACCAAGTATAGAGACATTACACGTGATCAGGAATATTAGCAATATCGTCTTCTTTATTGCACCATACAACACGACAAAAAAACATTGCCAAACTAGATTATTATGATTTTAGTTTCGATTTGACCATAATTATACAAGACGATTGATATATATAACATGTTGCTTTCTCAAAACTTGTGCATATCAAAAGTATGAGTTTCGAACACTCCTTTTAAGTACTTGACGAGAAATAGGGGAAAAAATCCTTCTTACCTCTTCGTAAAACTTGAGCTGGGGTATAGGCTCCTCATCACAGAGGCCTTCGCAAAATTCTTTGAAAAGGAGGTAACCTGTAATGATCCATAAAACGTTAGAATACCAACAACAACCCTATTCCTTCTTGTCATACTATCGAATCATAAAAGCCTGTAATGGCCTCACATGATTGATTGGGTATGTCTAGAATTTGAACTTGAAGCTATTTCTTTTCTTGGCAGAGTCACATTTATTTGCAGAGTGATATATGAATGACATATATTCTTATCGGTCTGGCTAAGTCCTAAGCCCACTATTATTAACCCTATGGTTCGAAAAGTGTCTATTTTTTGTTATTTACAATGATAGAATTCTTAGTTAGTACGGAAACACTAAACTGAACGTTACAGTATCAAAAACAAAACAAAACAAAAATTAGAACTGTTTACTCTCACACACACAATCATAACATTCCAGTTTAGTTGTTTAGAAGTGCAACATTCAAACTAACCCTGTACTATAAATTACATCAATTGTATACAGGCGATCAAGTCAGCACTGTATAGCAACGACAGAAGTTAGTATAAAAACCCACAACGAGATATCTATTATGAAATTTCAACCTAAAAAAAAATTGTACATTGCCAGTCCTTGTCAATATTTATTACCTCATAACAGAAAACGTCAGTGCTCATAACATCCAAAAAAGTGGAAGATACTCCGTCTATCATACATGATTCAAACACAAAAGTCAAACTAGATAGGTAGGCCAAGGATGGGAAAACTAAAAAAGTTTTTAAATCAAAAATGGTTAACTGCACTCTACTTTCCACGAAAACATTATCTAAATCATATCTGATAGATGGAATATTTCCAATGCTTTTGGGTGCTGAATTATTTCAGAATTTCAAAACGATTGAAACACTTTATGTTAATGCCGGCAGATCGACCAAAATGATGCAAGTGTTGGCGCAATCAATAATAATATATGAACTCAAATGGATGTTTCTGGGCTTGACAAAAATAAAAATCACAGTAACGCTGATATATAATAACTTGACATTCAATAAGAAATATGTGATTAATTAAAATGTAATAACACATTTCCTTAAATCAATAAAATAAGTAACCCTCACGAACCTATAGAGAAAGACAAAAGCACGACAATTCTACCAATAGACAAAAATAATGCACAGTAATAAAGGGCAAAGAAAAATATGCCAAACACTAAACTTTAATTGAAGATGGCTCTTACAGGAAGATCAAGTCTAACCCACCAAAAGAAACAGACAAAGAAATGACATGTAATTTAACCAGAAATGAGCCAGAATACGTGAAATTGTATCGAATATATATATATATATATGTGTGTGTGTGTGTGTGTGTGTGTGTGTCCAATGACCTTCGGCTAAACAAATTTGACTCACTAAGCCTAATAGTGTCTGTAGCCTTACACGTCAATAGCCTGACTAGGACTAACACCAGTGTTTGATGCATAAACAGTAGACTAACTATGCCTAATAGCGTCTTATGCTTCAAGAGTGGCTTAACTAACTAAGCCTAAGAGCTAAAAGGAATGCATTACGCCTCTTACGTCACAGATTATATTTTCAATTTTAACCTCAGATGAAACGAAAAAAATACTAAAATAGATCAGTGACTGAATGCAAGAACAGTAATACATACCCTGCTGAATCCCTTTGAACTTTCAAAAAGTCTACAGATTCTGAATTACGGCAGACTTAATCTTAGTTTCAAGAAAAATCATAGCCTAACACAACAGTGCAGCTATTATCACATAAGCTTATAACTCATAATCACAAGATATAATAACAACAAATACATACTTTACAAAACAACATTACTTTTATGTAGCTTGACATAATAAATTATTTGAAAAATGATAATAAGACGGTGCTGCTAAGAGTAACGATAAGATAATTTTCTGAACACGGATGAACTTGACAAGAGAACCAGTATTTCGTCAAAACACAAAACTATGATATCAAAATGTAAACTGCCTCTGCTGGTAAAGTAAAGTTTATATGATATTACAACACGGCTGAAACTGAGACGAATAAAATTATTTAACAAAAGTCTATAGTTCAAACAAAAAGAACACCATTCTGTATCGTTTACAACTCAACAGAGAATCGCCAGTCAATGAAAAACATTTCAACATCTAAGAAAAAATCAGTCAAACCACTGTTCTACAGCAAAGCAGGGAAATATCGCGATGCAGTAATTTTTATTCAGAGTTCTTTCACTATGTGACTAAAGAAAGAGATTAGCTATGTTAACATTTTTTTTATCATAAGCAACCAACATGCTTTCATACAGTAAAATTCTGCAGTAAACATTGTTGAGAACTGACCAAACGTACATCTTTTCAAACATGCTTTAAAATATCCGGTATATATGATGGTGATAACTAACGATAAAGCTTTCTTATTTGAATACTGTATAACGCTAAAGGTGATAAAGCACGATTCCTTTGGGTTAACATTTTACAAGAATAATACTTAGAAGAAGCACAACGCAACCGCAATCTTGATTGGCCCATTACAGGTTTCCAGTGGATTTCTTAACTACTATAATGTACTCCTGTCACTGAAAACTTGTACAAATCTAAATACCATTAGATTTATCGTAATATATCATCACACTAAGTACCTTTAATATTCCTAATATATATATATATATTCATATCTAAAGATGAAACTGTACAAAAATGTACAAGCACGGATTGAATATGGAATCAGGTAATTATCGCGCCTTTATCAATTCACTTTCGAATTTCTATTATTTGATGAATTGTAAATTTAACAGCCACCCCTTAAGACCACGTGGCCATCTAGAACTGATTCAGCACTTCTCGCCAATTAGTTGCAAACATAGAAGATAACGGGCCCATTCTTTCTTAATGTTAACAGTTAGTTCAAATTCTCTCACACCCACATCCATCCACCACCTGATTCCCCACTGTTTATTCTCAATCCCACTATGAATGCAATTAAAGCTTTCACTATTCCATTTTTTCGAGTCAAGTTTAGATTTACAGAACCTTAATGAAGGTAATGGCAATACAAGTTTTCTTCCAGGCTAACTATATATATATATTCATCATTAGAAGCTTTTAGCCTCTTTCAAAACCACTTCTTCAATAAAATATTTTTCTTTCCCTCCACGGGAGTGCTCTGGAACGAGGTTGAAAACTTGCGAAGGTTGTTCAACAATGTGCGGAAATAACCTGGAAGTATGATTTTACTGAATAACTTCCACAAACTGTTTTCCTCAACAGGTTCAGTTGGACCAGGTAATAACGAGAGGTTCGAACAGAAAATGTCTTGCAGAGTTAAACCGAAATCTCTTGGTTGTGACTGTGAGAAAGAAGGGGTGAACTTAGTGAAAACAATCTTTATACAATTCACAATATAATTATGTGTTAATAGTTCACAATGTGACTAGCTATCATCTAACCAATCAGACAGTGCTAAAACAGCATAATGCCTATAAAAGTACAGGCAGCCAAAAAAAAAAAAAATCCAGCATTAGTGTGGTAAGCATACTCATGGTTCTTGGAAAGAAATATCACATGGTAAAGTTGTAAACAAAACAAATGGCTCGTGAAGGTTACTTCATATTTCATCAGAATCTATATACAGAAACTGTGAAAAGGGCATGTAAAAACTAGTACTGTTGATAAAAGAAGTAGTCAAGGTAGGAAGCCCAAACTCATCAAAAGTGACGTAAAGTATCTCAGGGTATGCTCTTTACGTGATAAACAAAAATTCAGTAGAGATCTTGCCAATGAACTAACCATAGGTACAGGTGTGAATGTTGCCTCCATAACAGTAGGATACACATAAGCACAAAGTGGTTTCAATGGATGTGTGGCTGTTCAATAACCATTACTTACCAGAAATAACCAAACCAAAAGGCTTCAAACAATTGGATGGACAAAGCCGGAGGAGCATGCACTTTACAAACAAATCAAAATGCAATTGTTTTGTCAACAATCAACAATAGTTTGTTTGTTGGCAGAGGAAGATAATACCCTCAAATACAACAGTGAAGTATTCTGTTGAACCAATACATATCTCAGCCAATGGTATTGAATATTTACACAAAATTTATGGCACCATGAATGTTGAAAGGTATAAACAAAGTCTTAATCTTCCTGTCATTCCCTTGGTAACAAGTCCTGTTAAGCAGAAACTGCACTCTTATAATACACCACAGCTTGAAAGTGCGAGAAGTATTTGTGGTGTAACACCGATTTGAACACAGGTTGCCAGATACTCTGCCAACACCTTGAAAACAGTAAAGCTCTGTGGGATAATGTGCACAATAACAGAGCTAATAACTTTTGTATCTATACAATTTAATTCCAACAGGATAGAAAATACCACCATAAAGAAGGCCTAGCCATAGGTTCTCCACTATCACAAGTATTCAGTTAACTCTAAACGGATCATTTCAAAACATTTACTCTAAGACCCAAAATTTGACCGAGACACTAAGGACACGATACAAGATTTAGTCACATGAACAGGTAACAGATAGAAAGTAATGTCATGCTTCTAGAGTGTTGGCCACCAAGACACATTAATCATATAAAAGTTTACAGGAAATTTAGGTATAAATAAATAACTCAACTTAAAAGTGTAGAGACAGGCATTATAGATTGTCTAGATTTCAAAATGAAATATAAGCTATACAAAAAGAAGAATGAGGAAAAAGACACCACTACAATCCGCCTTGACAATGGATCCCGGAACTTTTGATAAATAAGGTGAATACTAAGAACAAGCACGAAGGAAATCACGGCCACATCCCTTTACGTTAAAAATCTCTCTAAATAAATACAGAGGATATTTTAACAGCATAAAGAAACCACAACACAATACGATTACAGTTAATACACGCCAAACCACTTAAAGACCCAATGGAGAGCAAAAATACTATGGACTCCAATTGATTAGAAATCGTTAAATATGTGTATATCCAGTAATCTTATGACTAAACATTCACACAATACGTTCCTTATGTACCTTCGGACTGCGTAAATACACATTAACAAGTGCTGCACGTCTAAAGAATAAACATACATCAAATGTCTTCTACAGCCTAACAAGCATGAAGTTAATTGCCTTAGCTTAGCAGCCCGTGCATTATTAGCCTTAGCCTAACTAGCAGCCAGGGCGTTATTAGCCTTAGTCAAAAGCTAAATCACTATTAGTCTCAGCCTAACAGCCAGCACATTTTCGCCTTAGCCTGGAAGCCACTGTAACGACACTGTTATTAGCCTTCGCCTAACAACCAGTGCATTCTTAGCCTTAGCCTAACAGCCAGAGCATTATTAGTTTTAGCATAACAGTCATGGGTGCTATCACTATTCCTTCCTCCCCCCCACGATATGTTTATGAAGGAGTACTATTGCAGAGATACTTCCGAGTTTAACTTGGAGGCACTGTCAGTGAATTCTGTGTACTTTGAATTAGAAACGAGATAATATTAATTACTGGAAGTCGCTAGGTGCCTGGAACTGAGCGAAAATTGGAATATAAAGTATCTACTTAGTGAACGTAAAACCTGACCTACTAGAAGTTATGTTGTATACCTAGACTGAAGCAAGCTAACAATGCCCTGATTGTTAGGCGATAATAACAGGAATTGCACAATACCATATAGAACGTTCGGGGCAAAAGCACCCGAAACAGTAAAGATTCAGTTCAAACAAAGCTTTAAAGCCTTTACTATTGACTGCTGAGAATGTACACATATAAAAATGCACAAAAAAAGCATACGTATAAGACTCACGAAGAAAAGAAAATCCGCTTAAAACGGCCCGTTTGTAATTTTTCTTCTTCTTCTTCTTATTATTATTCTCTTGCCAGCCTACAACAAAAACGACTAAATAAGGTACTGCGAAGGTCTTAGTGGTATTGTTTCTTCTAATATTTTACAAAAGCTAAAAAAGATCATAATTCTAGTTAGCTTTCTTACAAATTTCTGGTATTCCTTTAAGCAGCTTAAGTACAGGGAGAAATAGGAATTACCAGCCAATAACAGATGAAGATTAGATGACTAATATGCAAATACTCAATGCTTTGTACATTATACAATAGGTATCTTTAGGGAGCCAACCCCTATATTACGTACGAGTGAAAACCGTATTAGCTACCACATCAAGTAATCCTTTGCCCATAGTTGAGGATAAAAAAGCCAGCAAACAAAATAAAAAAAATTGGGAATCTAAAAATCTGCAAATAGGGTTCGCAAAAAGTAAAGAATCAAGGCTGGAGATACTATATACATTATTTACTCAAATTACAAATCCTCATTTTGACTCACCAAATGTAATTCTAGGTAACAATATGGAGCCAAAATAGGAGTTTGTAGTTTGAGTAAATAATGTCTACAGTATTTCCAACCTTGTTTCCTTACTTTTTTATGATTCCTATTTGCAGGTTTTTAAATTCCCAATTTTTTAATTTATCTTGTAGCATATGTTCCTGTTAAGATGTGGGAGAACCACATCTGCCGTTATTCTCAAAACGTTGGTTGGTTGATGGCGTTTATCGTAAAGCTACGCAATTTGCTATCTGCACTCTGTCCCGGATTTTAATGGTGATAGTCCGTAAACTAATCAATCATTCAAAGAGATACCTTCTGAAAATCTAAGGTGTCAAAATATTTTGGGTTTGCTATATTACATTTAAAAACATGTTATTAATACTTAAAATTCACGTCCCCCTCCTTATTCGAACTCCGTTATCCAGAGGTCGGATTAAGGTGGGAGCTGTTATGACTGAAGACACAGGCCCAGGCTAAAAAAAGAGAAAATTAAAAAATACCTGTTTTCATTTTTATTAGGAAAATGCTTTTAAAAAATCATCCGACCAAGTCTACTTATTTTTGAAAAGAGGGGGAGAAAAAGAGTTTGTGTGTGATACAGCGTGCAGAGATTTGATTGGCTTGCCTCCAAATTGTGTGACTAGGTGTAGCTCCGCTACATTTGCATACAATTTGCCATGCAAATCTTCTAGGTTTAAGTGAGGCGAGACCCAATCACGCTAATCGAATGATAGGCCTAGGCGAATCAAAATCTCTTTACATTTTCACGGTGCTGTCAGCTAGGCTTCTCCCTTGTTTTTACGCCCAACACGCCATTTCTTATGGTATGATCGGGCAGTAGGCCTAGAATACGAGTAAACCTAAATTGCTAGAATAGATTGAAAATATCTATATCTTTCTATTCTATATTCTCAAACACTTCGGATTTTGTTCAAGAAAAGAGTTCAATCATCGCTAACAAGGTAAGTAACAGTATTTAACCTTTTAGGATATACTGTATCAACTGTTTGTATTTCTTGAACAGAATTTGCAAATTGTTATCTCATAAAAATCCATATTTACTTGTGAACCTACATTGGTCCATTATCAGCTGTAAATCATTTGTTGACAAGTTAATAAGCATCATTAATTGGATTAAAAGTCATTCAAGTATACACAATTTGACATTTATAGTTAAATACAGAAAATGATATGCGTTCATTTGTTGTGAAACTATTGGGTAGCTAATTCTGACATCTCTCTCTCTCTCTCACACACACACACATATATATATACACACAAAAACACACAGACAGTTTACACGTGCACACATATACATTAAATGTTTATCCTATCTATTATAAAGATGTACAAACACAAGATGGGTTGGGAAAAGCTAAAGTCAAAGAATGAGGAAGAGAAAAATTAAGAGAAAGTAGTAGATAAAACTAGGAAAGTAACGGATTTATGGGCTTCGTTGTCTAGTGATGAAACCCACGCCAGCCAAAGCGGTGGAAACAACAATGTAGACACTAAATCTCTGGATGCTGACGACCGTCAACCTCATCAAACTGAATCGAACCCCTACCAAAAGGAAGAAATCAATCACTGCAATGGTGATGAAGATACTGACCCATACTTTACATTCCACATTGAGACGTGGATACAAGTTTCTGAAAAAAAACGAGATTACCTCTTGCCAATGCATGGATGCGGATTTTAGTGCATCTACAAAATCGATTCCGGGTGACAAGTATAAACGCCAATTCTCAAAGACTTTTTTTATCGCGAGCAACTGAATAGAGATGATCTTAAAATAGTCTGGCTTTGCTACTCACCAAAGGGAAACATCTTCTGCGTTATATGCAAATTTTTTTCAACAACAATGGAAACTTCTTCGCTAGCAACAACTGGTTACTCTTACTGGAAACATGCTGCAAGAGACTTTAGTTTGCATGAAATAAGCTTGCTGCATCAAAGTTGCGTCACCAAACTTGTTATTCGTAAAACAAAAAGCAGACAAATCGACAAGACTTTAACAGAGCAAAAGAGAAAAAATACTGGTACCAAATTCTAGAACACACTCTCTCAGTCTTATAGTTTTTTACCATCTAGAGGGCTAGCAATCAGAGGAAACAATGAAGTAGTTGGTTCTGTGCAAAATGGCAATTACTTGGAAATACAGGAGCTATTGGCTTAGTATGATACATTTTTTGCTGAACACATTCAAAAACGCGCAAGTAAGGGAAAAGGTCATGCTCCATAATTATCCTCAATTGAAACATCCAGTATTACTCAGTGTCTGTTGATTATACTCCAGACTTAACCCATGCGGATCAACTGACAATAATATTTAAACACGTTCTAGATGATGGCCCTGTAGAGAGATTTACCACATTCTTACTGGTAAATAATTACACAGGAGCAGAACATGCTCGAGTTCTCACTGATTTCCTTGAAAAGAATGATATAAGAATTCAAGATTGTCGTGGGTAGCCTTACGACAATGCATCCAATATGAGCGGCAAATATGTTGGCATGCAAGCCTTGATCAAAGAGAAGAACCCCCAAGCAGACTATGTTCCCTGCTGTGCTCATTCACTCAGTTTGGTTGGACCTTGCACTATGGACTGCTATACTGAAGCTTGTTTATTCTTTGCGTTTATGTGGAAGCTTTATGTACTTTTTTCTTAGCTTCAACCCGCTTGAAAAACTAGAGCTCCCGACGATAAAGAGGTTATCAGACACAAGATGAAGCATCCCTTCAGATGCAATGAGAGCCTAAAAATGGGGTACAAAGCCGTAACGCAAGTCCTGCATTGAAGCAATGCAAATGATGGACTCGCAGATCCATAGTCTGATACACTACCTATTTGTCAATTCTCAAATCTCTTTTTATCGATCACAGAAAGTTGCTAAAGAATATGCCTACATACTCATAAAGTTGATGAGTAATGCAGACAGTTTTAGGTTTTATTCCGTTGTTTATGCAGTATAAAAACCACTCCTCAGTTTTAAAAGTAAAAAATCGAAAAAGTAATGAAAATATATTACTGGAAAGGCACTCGGAGATTACAAATCCGTTTATGATTTTGAGTTTTGCAGTAATCTATCTAACATTTAAACACACAAAAATTCCTTCTCCTCAATAATATAAATCTAGGTACCAACATCCTCTTTCTATCTCTGTTTGTTGTCATGTTTGAACCATTTTCAAAACCCCAACATACTAATATCTTAACGAAAGAAAATGTAATTTTCAGAGTAGCCTTTACCTTAGAACTAAATTCAACAAAAGGTAATAAAATGGTTCTTCTTGGACGCTTAACCTCTATACCAAACTTGGTCAAAATGAGATGGACATTTTTCGAGTTATATTATTCACAGACACATACAGAAGAGAGAAAATAATAACCTTGCATTTAAGGATGAGTAATGAAAACCACTGGAGTGAAATAATACCCTCTCCATCAAGGAGGAGTAATTAAAACCCAAAATTTAAAGTTTGGTTTGAAAAGACAAACGTGTATCAAATTAACATCCTTAAATCAATGTGCATAACACCCAAGTAAAAGTAAACATCATATTAATTAAACACATAATCCACGAAACATTGGATGACGCTAACCTTAAATCTTGTTTGTTTAGCCTACACTTAAATATCTTGAAACGTTTTTCGTACTTTAATCTCTTATGAAAATCGATAAGTCTTCAGGAAGTAGAAGAAACAAGGCTATTTTAAGTTACAAGGAAAAAAACGTGTTGCTTTATTTAAAATGCTTTAAACAAGGTATTGAACTTTCTTCTGAATTTCTTACATGCAAATCCCAATGCATATGTTTGATTAACATGTTTTTCATGCCAAACAAGAAAAAAATAATATAATAATGCATCTTAGTCTCTAGATTCGCACTTCAGAGTGAGGACGAGTCCCCTTGCATTGCATCCTCGATATAACTTAGTGAAAATTAGAAACAGATCGATAACCTGAGGTTCTTCTGCTTCATTAAGAAGCAAGCTAATTATGAGATTTACGTGTTCCCTTATAAATACAAAGGAAAGCTAATTAAGTGTAAACACTTTGTAAAATGCAATTATTTTTCGGTCTGTGGTTAAATATGACGGAATAACGGAGTGTCGTGTACCCCTGGAAAACTGTTTTCTCATTCGAATACAAATGTTCAGCAGTTAAACATTACTATAATTCTAATGTCGTTATAGTACCTTTTGTGAAGATACACAAAATCGTTAATATCTAATTGTTCATCTGTTGTTCATTTTTTAATAGATCCACTACAGGTATCTCTTGTAATTATTAATGGGCACACGACTCCTTTGTTTTACCAATTTCCATGGATTCGTTATATCATATATGTCCCAGTTATAAAGAACTAACTGCTTCTTGTTTGAATAATTTTAAACAGAAACACTATTACGCGTTTTATCCTATTATAATAGATTCACGTTTCCACATCTACCCTTTTTAACAGACCCAATACTCCGTGTTTACCCCCTTTTAATTGGTATACTACATCTTACGTAATTTTAAAGGAATCAGTGCTTTAAGTCTCATAGGATTTTACAGATCCATTTCCACGTGTTCTCTTCCGGATTTTTTCTCAGCAAAACTAATCTTCCTTTTCATGCCCATTTTTAACAGATTAACTGCACTGTGTATTATTTATTACCAGATTCACAGCTATATTATTTTACCAGTATCTGGACGCGAACCACAGAAACTAAGCTCCACAGTCCAAAGTGCTAACGATTGGTCTGTGCTCGGCCCAGCCCCTGTGTATCTTTCGCGAAAGTTTGAAACAAACATGCTCTCTTCTGCCTCTTTTACCAAAGTGATGAAATCTTGGATTAAAATATTGCCATAATTTAACTATCTCCAGCGTAACTACTTAGGACTTCAAACTGTTAATGGATTTTTTGGTATCACCTATATCAATAGTTTCCAATCTGGGGGTATCTCTTCCTTGAGGGTGAGCCAAACAAGAAAGGTGGTCCATCAGGCTTGACTGCTTGTGAGGTTTGTTTGTTTGTTTT